TGCCAGAACTTCTCATGTAATGGCATCTTCCTTCTGACACTTTATGCTTATTACACACGCATGAAACAAGAAATGAAAACCAAAGAGCGTTTTTCTACTGATTTTCTTCAAACTACATGTTAGGAAAAGAGTAAGACAGTGGGAAATAAAAGATGATGAGGTTTTAAGCTTCATTCTATAAAACAAGCTGGAACAACATCCAGTATAGTGGGAAATATGTTGTCTACACGACGTTATACAAGTTGTACATTTTTTCATAACAGTTCCAAAAACTGAAAATGATGTCCCTGGCCATTTGCTTCATTTGATGTATTTCCCAGTAAAGTAATTTCAAACTGCAGTCTAGATGTTTTTAGCTTTAACCATCATCCTTTCTATTTTTTTCCCATAATCTCTTTTTTCTCTTTAAATCCTCACTCATTCCACCCATTTCTCAGTCTTTTAAGTGCACAGAATATTAGCAAGCAGCAAAGCCCAGAGGACAGATTTTGGTTATTAAATTTAAAAAGAATCTAAAGCAACTATCGTAATTAGTAGTCAATAAAATACTTTCAACTAAATAAAATTAATCTAGGTACTGTTTTATATAAAAAATATTGCCTGAGGCAACCTTTCATCATAGAAATGCTACAATCTTCACATCAATATTGATTTTAATGCTGTAATTTGTATTAGAGAAAGCATTACTCACGTAAGACAAGTTAAGACTGAATTAAATCACAGTGATTAATTTGCTTGTGGGGAGAGCTAAATTCAAAAAATCTATAAAGCTAAATATGTGGAAACGATAGAAGGAAATCTCAGTAATTGGGGTGAAGGTTTTTCTCTAATTAGCTGCAATGCATCATTAAATTCTATTGTACTAGCAGCTGAAAAAAATATAGCTGTTTTAGAACTAATGAGAGAAGAGAAGCATTACAACAAAGACATTTGGATTCATACATTATATATTTCAATTTTTCTCAGTATATACTCAGTTAAATCTGATAACGACCAATATCAATAAAATATCTGAAAGAAACAGTCAACAGAATGTGAGATAAGAAAGTATAGTAAAACAAAGTATTTGGCTTACTGAGGAATGGGAAGTCTAACAGAGGTCTCTGACATTGAATATGGGATAATTGTTAAAGTTAAGATTCTGTTTATCAAAGCTACATCCTCGAGTACATCCATATTTCTAAGATTGTGACTACAATGACAGAATTTATGTTACTGTCATCAACTGCTCATTTTCTTTTTTCCATCCTTGTATTTTAACAGGCTCAACCAACTTCATTCTTATTATCAAAAAAACCTACAGGACAGATGACTATATGATGGATAACTAGCTAACTAGGTAGAACATCACGGCCACTAGGACCACATGATAGCAATGGAGGTGGTGAGAATTGGACATACAGCCAACAGGTTTTGGTGGAGGTTTACATGTGGGGGTTTTGGTCCAGCAACTAAGGGGTGGAGTTTCCATTAACTGCATTGGGGAATAATGTTGGTGGAGCAATTTTCTTAGAGATGTTTGGGAGCTCAGCCCTGGACAACTTCGTTGGATCTAAATAGGCAGATGGATAGGTGAGTCTGTAGTTCAGGGAACAGGTGTAAGATGCGTATGTACATTTGTGTAGTGTTAACATATATTTTTTAAGTCATGAGATTGAAGGCATCACCGAAGGAGAGACTATAGACAGAAAATGGAAGAGACACAAAGATTGAGCTCTAGAATATCCCAAAATTTAGGATTTTATCCTGGTGAAATTGCTTTCAAGAAATGCCCTACCAAATTACACACAGGCCAGAATTATATGATAGTGTCAGTCACTACAGCCTTTGCTAAGACTGGGCATTGTCTTTGTCCATTTGACATATTACAAATTTTTTTTCTGCTTCAATATCTATTCATTAGAAGTGAAAATAAGCTTTTTTTGTATGTTTATTAGTAATTTGTATTTTTGTCTTCTATACATTTCCTACCTATGTACTCAGCTTATTTTTCTCCCCAGGTATTCTAATTCTTCTTATTGATTCATAAAGTCACTTTACATGTAAGGTAATTAACTTTTCATTTGTGATATTTGTTGCAAAAGCTTAACCTCATTTTCATTTTTGTGTTTTTTGGTGTGAGAAGTGTAACATTTTTGTAGCCAAATCTGTTTATCAGTTACTTTATTATGTATCTCATTACTTTAATAAGAAGACAAATTAAATATATTCACATATTTTCTTCTGGTAGTTTATGGTTTCTTATTTTTTACACTTAACTCTCAATCCTTCTGATGTTTATGTTAGGCCATGTAGGCTATCATTAAATATTTTCTTAAATTTTTAGCTCACTTTACAATTACATTAATATACCAGTTCCATCTTTGTGATATATCCTTTAACTCTTATTCAGTTCTTATCTATAGTAAAGTCTAGTTCTGAAATATGTATTCTTTTTCTTTGGCTACTAATTCTTGTGTGTATACTTCAATACTTTCTTATCATATTTTAAAACTATATGTTACATATACTATTTATTTGTCAAATAACCAAATACCTAATAGGCATATGGGTCTTCCACTATGGCTGTTAGGCTCTCTACTAATCCAGAGAGCTGGATGCCAATTTTTTCTTTTCTTTTGTTCAAGATAGCATATGGTGTGTAGTCTAAGAATGCATTTTAAAATTCAGGCTCACTGACTATACAATTAGTGGCAACCTCCTATACCGCGCCCCCCCCCCAGGTCCAGACCTCAGCATGTGTCTCTTACACTGCTATTACTGCTGGTTCTTATGCATCTGTGTGGGGATTTTCTTAAAGTCTGGGAGAAATCAATATGCGTTGGAGAGTTTGCAGCCACATTAAATTAAAATTTACAAATGTTTTATACACGCAGAATAAAACGTTCATATTTGCCACAGTTGTTTAAATCTGCTTCTCCTATTAGTCAAAAACCACCCTGAGGATTCCCCATCCACTTAGGAGGCACATACAATACAAAAATCATTTTCTTATCCAAAAGCTAATTCATTTTAATATTTATCCTTTTTTTTTTAAATCTTTTCGTTTGAATTAAAATTTTATTTCACCTTTAATATTGGCCTCCCTTTTTTTCTATTGCTCCATTTTTCATTCATACTCTCCTATCAGAAGTACCTTTCTGTGACCACAAATGATGAACAAGTAAACAAAAAAAACTGGTAAATAATAGGAACCCAGAAATTTTTCCCTGCTGCGTGACACGTGCACTTCCAGACACACCGCATGCTGGTGTATTATACCCTGACTACATCAGGAAGCAGGCAGTTGAGCAGGTCCTCAAGGGGAAGCTGGTGAGAACCTAGTCAGCTCCATTCCTGAACCAACCCAGCATCTGGGAGTACAAAGAACAGAGACTCAAAAATCTGCCTCATACCAGATCTGTGGCATAGGCCCTGGGTCAGGCTCTTTTCTAATGTAGAAGGCCATTATTCCATCATTTTACTGATGTTTTCTGTCAGTTACCATGTGACCCCATGGCATTTTCTGGAAAGAAAAGCTGACTCAGATGGTGACTGACAAGGTAGATGGTTGCCGCCTGATCTCAGTTTCACTGAATGTGGATCTCAAAGGACATCCTCCATTTAACGTCATAAACACTGACTCTCCCCTGCACCCCTGAGAAAGATTCCGTTCCTTCTTTGGATACCCTCCCTATTAACCATATATTGGCTCAGGTATGCATTAATCAAATTCCACGGACATATAGTATGTCCTTTTCCCTCTGTGGTCACACATCCCACTTTAAGTGGTCATTTAACCAGAACATTTACAGTGCATCTTGTAAAATGTTGAAAGAGGAACAAATCTCACTTTCTTTCACGATTCTTCGACATATTTCCCTCAACTCTCTCACTGGCACTCCCTCTGAAGGCTTCTCTCCCTCAGCTGTCACATCCCATATCCATTCCCCACACAGCCCCACAACGCTCTGCTCCTAACAACACCTTCTCTGGCTTAAAACTATCCACTTGTTATTTCATGGAATTCTTCTCACTAAAAGTTTGCTTTGCTCACCTGATTTCCCTTTTGACATTGAAAGGTGCTGTTGAGCAGGTCTCAAAGAAAAACTACAGGTCAACCTCATACAACTCAAAGAATAAACCAAATTTTGCGAAATGGCAAGGAAGGTAATGTACTATCTGATTATCATATGTCAACAACCAGTACCCAAAAATAATAGTCTCCACTGATGCTCATAAAGTAAAATAGCTCAAGATCAGTTTTCTCTAAAACTCTTGTGTGCAAGCCCTGTTTGTCATCCCTTATATTTGATGTGAATCAGCTGGGTGTAGGAAATGAGGAGTTTTTAAAATTTGGGTTTGTTTGTTGTGAAGAGGACTTTGGGTCCTTCTCTGCCCCTAATACGAGATAGATAGGAAAAATTAAAAGAGTTCCCATGAAAAGATAAGCAAGAAATTAGAGATATCAGATAAATGGGGGAGGAGGTATCCATTCTATAAATTTGTGTAAGGAAAAGGGGAAAACAAAGAATTATAAGTTGTGTTATAAAATGGGAGAGAGAGGGGAGAAATTTAAGTGGAGGATAGCATAGAAGACATAGAATTTTTTAGCTTATAAGCAAGGAAGTTTGTTTCTAAATTTTAAATTGGCAAAAAGTCAAAGGAGAAATCAAGAATAAAGTCTAGTAGGAGAAATGGCAGCAGTTAGAATTTTAGAAGAATGCAGCAAATTCCTCTCAGTAGTAATGAGAGTGTTTTAGGGGAAAGGAGTAATTAGTTGTTTTCAGGAACCACAATTGCTAAATTAAATGTGATGACTAGTACTAATTGATAATTAATGGTTGAGTGTTTTGCACCTTTTAAGCACTCAATAATATGATTGATATGTCACTTACGAAAAACAGAGTAACATTTATGAATCAATTATACAAGCAATATATGAGTGGGAAAGCTACAAGCACCTGAAGATTCTATTGAAATAGAAAATAAATAACAATAACAATAATAATAACCCATACCTTCTCTGTGTCAATGCCTTTTGACATGGACCATGTTGAGACAATATAATCCATGACTCGTTCACTAAGGCCTTTGGGGACCTGATAGAGTTTCAGAAAGTCCCGCACATTATTCAGCATCTCATGGTATCTGTTGGTGTTGGCATACATTTGCTGGAAAATTGTGGTAACATTTCCAAAAATAGTCGCATAAAGAAGAGCTGAAAGAGAAGAAATGATGAAAATAAAACAAATATCCCAAGTGAAAAAAATAACATGAATATTGACCAAATCAATGAATCATTTGACAGAGATGTCTTTATAAACTTTTAGGCATTAATGCATGTTAACCTCTGAGAAGAGTGTCTGGAATTTGGTATTCACTCAGTAAATGTTACCTTCAGTCTGATAAACATGATTTTATGAGCATGCACCACTCTAGTCAATGTGGCAAAACAAGAGAGTGGCTAATAGACGTCATGAAGAATCAGATGATCCAAAGTTATAATTTGCCTAAGAAATTCTAGCCTTTTGACTAAAGTTATCCTCCAGCCTTGTCCTCCTGAATCAAGCCTAATCAATTTAAATTTTCCAGGGATTGATCCAGTTTAGAAATGTATGCTCTTTCTCATTGCTTGCTTTTTCCAGCTTTTGGAATACATCCCTACTTATAAATATTTTTGACAGAACTTCAGCAATATAGGGAATGGAGACAAATTAAAGTCTTCCATTTTTAGGAGCTTCTGGAGAGAAAGAGGGTTGGAATTAACAGCTAAAATAAAACTTTGAGAGTGCCTGAAAATTCCAGTTATTAGACTAATGTGAAGATCCCAATGTTTAAGTATTTTGATTCCATCATTTTAATTAAGAGTAAAGCCAACTTGCAAACCATTGTTATTGATCTATAGGGGCCAACAAGTGGAATAGGGTTTTTTAATGCCCCTGACTGCTACTCTCTCCCTCAACCAATAATTTGCCAACTCTCTTCTCTCCAGATCTGGTCAGGCTACTGATGTTGGCCTGCCCTTGTAAAAGTTGTTAAAAGCAATTGAGTTCAGTCCAAACTCAACACACCTCCAGTCTCACACCACTCCCATCTGATCTTGTCCCTTTGGTTTCATCCTCTGTTAACAGTAAGCTCTTTTGAAAAAGCAGTATTTTATTCCCCTAAATATCCAGTAAACACAATATTTAATAACCACATATATTTCATAAGCATTTCACAAATAAGTGGGATATCAGAAAATGATCACTTCCATTCTACATCTTCCAAGCATTTGAAAAATGACGCCTCTAAACAAAGTATGGGCTGTTTCATTTTGCAGTTTCATCAACCAAATCCCATTTGATGGAAGTGGCATAAAATCAAGCTAGTAAAGCAACTTAAGATCCTTAATTTATTTTCAGGGAATCATTTGTTTTTTTAAGAACAGTTGTTCTTTGAGTACAACAAATTATAATTTCACAACAGAAAGCTATGATTTTATAAGCATTTACTCAGTTTTTTGGCTGTTATTTAGGGATCTTGATGCCAATGCAGAACAATTTTTAAGACAGATGATATTTTGTTAAAACTGCAGAGGAAGAATATAGTGCTGACATTTCTCAACTGGATCTTTAAATCTTTGAATATTTATATTTAAGATCAAAAACAGAAAAATAGATAAAATCACAGACTTAAATTCTTTATTCCATCATTGTTGGGATTAAGAAAGACAAACACAAAACTAATGTGAACAAATCAATGGTAGAAGAATCAAGAAACAAATATGATTTTCAGAAAAAAGAACTAGAATTTGTGTTTTTAAAATAATGAGCGTTTTAGAGGTCAATGAAATAGTGCTACCGTCATGTTTTTTAATAATGCCCAGCTATTATAAGTTGTCAATAAATATCACAGAACTACCTATTATTTTCACATGTTTAACTTGTTTGGCTCCCTGAGATACTTGCAATATGCTGTATTTGCCAAAATGTCTTACTATTGCCTCTTAGTTTAACAAATTACCACACATTCCATCTTTTTTGGGTACACTAAATATGCATATATTCTGCTTGTATTAACAGTTTAAACACTAAAATATGAATAAAACTGCCAATCTATTAAAAGTTTGCAGCATTAATAAATGAAGACATTTACAGTTGCAACAAAAAGAATAAAGTACCTAGGAATAAATTTAAGTAAGGAGGTGAAGGATTTATACAATGAAAACTATAAGACATTATTGAAAGAAATAGGTAATGACATGAAGAGATGGAAAGAGATTCCATGCACATGGATTGGAAGAACAAACATAGTGAAAATGTCCATACTATCCAAAGCAATCTACAGATTCAATGCAATCCCAATCAGAATCCCAATGACATTCTTCACGGAAATAGAGCAAAGAATCCTAAAATTCATATGGAGCAACCAAAGACCCCGAATTGTTAAAGCTATACTGAGAAAAAAGAACAAAGCTGGAGATGTCAGAATCCCTGACTGCAAAATGTACTACAAAGCCATAGTGATCAAAACAGCATGGTACTGGTACAAAAACAGACACACAAATCAATGGAAGAGAACTGAAAGCCCAGAAATAAAACCACACACATAGGGACAGGTGATCTTTGGCAAAGGTGCCAGGAACATACAATGGAGAAAAGACAGTCTCTTCACTAAACGTTGTTTGGAAAACTGGACAGCCACATGCAAAAGAATGAAAGCAGACCACTTCTCACACCATACACAAAGATAAACTCAAAATGGATCAAAGACTTGAAGCTAAGTCCTGAAACCATAAAACTCCTGGAAGATAATATAGGTAGTACGCTCTTTGACATCGAACTTAATAGGATCTTTTTGAATACCATGTATTCTCAGACAAGGGAAACAAAAGAAAAAATAAACAAGTGGGAGTTCATCAGACTAAGGAGTTTCTGCAAGGCAAAAGAAACTAGGATCAAAACCAAAAAGACAACCCACCAATTGGAAGAAAATTTTTGCAAATCATACATCTGATAAGGGGTTAATCTCCATAATATATAATGAACTCACACAACTGAACTACAAAAAAACAAACAGCCTGATCAAAAAATGGACAGAGGATATGAACAGACATTTTTCCAAAGAAGATATACAGATGGCCAATAAACACATGAAAAAGATGTTCAATATCACTAACCATCAGGGAAATGCAAATCAAAACTACACTAAGACGCCACCTTACACCTGTTAAAATGGCTATAATCACTAAGACTAAAAATAGCAAATGTTGGAGAGGGTGTGGAGAAAAGGAAACCCTCATACACTGATGGTGGGAATGCAAACTGGTGCAGCCACTATGGAAAACAGTATGGAGATTCCTCAAAAAACTAAAAGTAGAACTACCATATGACCCAGCTATCCCACTACTGGGTATCTACCCAAACAACTTGAAATCAACAATCCAAAGTAACATATGTACCCCTATGTTCATTGTAGCACTATTCACAATAGCCAAGACATGGAAACTATCCAAGTGCCCATCTACTGATGAATAAATAAAGAAGATGTGGTATGTATATACAATGGACTACTACACAGCCAGAAAAAAAGACAAAATCATCCCATTGGCAACAACATGGATGGACCTGGAGGGTATGATGCTTAGCAAAATAAGCCAGACTGAGAAAGACAAATGCCAGACGACTTCACTCATATGTGGAATATAAACAAACGCATGGACAAATAAAACAGTTCAGTGGTTACTGGGGCAAGGGGGGTGTGGGGTGGGCACAGGGGATGAAGGGGAGCACCTATGTGGTGACAGACAAGAAATAATGTACAACTGAAATCTCACAATGATGTAAACTATTATGAACACAAATTTTAAAAAATGAAGAATATATTCAACATCCCATTAAGTTTGGCATATTACAAAGATATCCTCCCATTTTCATGTGAGTGTGGTGTCCTACACTGAGTATGACTAAACAATCTCATAATTTAAGTAAAACATTCAATTATACATGTACATATTTTTTATTTTTTTTACTTTGAAATAAGCTGCAGAAATCCACATGTACTCACATGCAGCTTCTGTCAATGATAACTTACACAACTAAAGTAATTTATCAAAACCAGGAAATTGATAGTGGCACAATACAATTAAACAGACTACACACCTTTTTCATATTTCATCAGGTTTTTACACGTATTTTTTTGGTGTATAATTTTATAAAATTTTATCACATGGACATATCTGCGTAATTTTATCACATGTACAGATCTGTGTAATATATTTTTAAAAAGAGAAACCACTTCTTCCTTAAAAATATTTTCAACACTTAGGACTAGTATACATTTCAAAAAAATAGTGAGAGCAAGTATGATATTCTACAGCAAGCAACAATTCTGCTTCCCACGGAAGTCTGTGTTCCCAGGATAAATGGGCACATCTTTAATGAGAGAGGCCCTGGGACATGACACACAATAATGAGGGAAATTGATCTCAGTAAAAACTCTATGCTGCTAACTCCCAAAGTAATACCTCTCCCCTGAATTACAGACACACATATCTTCTTGGATGTCTAATAGCCATTCAAGTCAAACATGTTCAAAAAAGAACTCTTAATTTATAACACCCTGTCTCCAACTACCAAATGTACTTTTCACCTCAGTAAATTGCAAAACCATACCTAGTTGCTCAGACCAAAAACTACAAAGTCATCCTTCAATTCACTCTTTGATTCATCTCCTGTATCTAATCCATCAACAATTCCTGTTGGCTCTACCTTCAAAATACAGCCTCAGTTCATTCACTGCTCACTACCTCTACCAGCATCCTTGCATAGTCTTTAAGAGTACGTGCTTTTTCACTTAATAGCTGTGTGTCTTTGGCCAATTCCTAAGCCTCTCTACACTTCTATTTCCTCACTTATAACTTTAAAATTACACTAGAATCTTCACAAAAGTAAAAAAAAATCTATATTCAGCTAATTAATTGTAACTCAGCCTCCACTCTCACAGGTTGCTCATGATAACAGATAAGATGATGCATCCAGGCCTCTGAAGAATTTATGTTCTCCAGACACTTCATTTTGTTTGCTCTTTAGGTCAAGCTTCAGCCATTCATCTCCTTATTAATGATTTGCATTTTTTAAACTTTCTGTGCCTGTTCATGAATACATCCAACATTTACTTTTCCTAATTATCTTTCTTTTATAAATCTTGGCAGGTAATCACTAGCCATAGACTCAG